CGATATTTTAGGGGCGATTAAGCAGAAAAAACGTAGACTCTCCGTCAGAGTCAGAATGCGGAAAATCTACTCCATCGTAAGATCGACTAGACCATTTAATAGGGCTGAAAAGTGTTCCCTCCATAATTAAATACGTTGTGGAAATCGGTAACTAGGTCGCCATAGTTGTTCTTACAGGAGTTCGCCCTGGTATTGAATCTTTCCGTAAGTCGCCAAACTTTCTGATTACATTTTCGGACGTTTATCCGGTCGACCAGCTTTTCAATACGCTTCCCTCTTCCGGTCCCTTTATCGATCGTACTTAGCTCGCGGTGCGCACGCTCACACTATGGCCCTGTAGCTGGCATCTTTTCTCCCTGCAGCTTCATGGCATTCCTCATTCTGCCATTTGTTTCTTCGGGCTCCAACGTTCGACTATTTATGAAGTTTAGCATTTTGTAGGTCATGTTCCAAATTCGGGATGGGGACTATAATCGTTCTCTATGTCAGTATAAATTTAATGCATATATCGGTAGCTGATATACGGCCTTCTACCACCAAACAGTTTTCTAAGATAGGGCGTTTTCGAACCAGCTACCGAAATATGGCGATTTTCCACTCAGCCATTGGTTGGCTCGAAGGTTTCCTCCGCCAGCCCACAGAACCTGCAGTCCACCTCATCAGAAAGGTCTATTTTACCTGAGCCTGGAGTATCCCATTTTGAACCCTCCCGACTAAGGTGAAGCTGTCTTTTAGAAACTCCACAAGAGGGAGCTACTCATCTCCTTGATTGTATTTTGCACTTTGACATACGCCTGTGGGTTTCAACCTATGAGTCCTCTCTTGTACGGACCACAGAATGACTGAGGGTTTCGCGAGTATGTCACAGCTCCCATGACTTGGAACCCACTACAAGGTAGCCCATTGGTATGCTTTTTTGCAATCTAGGTTCAAATAAGCACGCTCCAGCGCTGCTATAGTCAATTTTGGATCCACCAGAAATATAACCTTGCATGTAGACCTTAATAAAGGTTAGCTTCTAACACCCGAATGGCTAGCTCACGATACTCTTTCATGTTCTACAGATTATTTAAAAATTTAGAATAAATGAGGCATAATTCAAGTGAGGAATGAAAAAGCGTTACACAGTATAAGTTTTATTTTGTCTTTAGCGTTTCATATATGTACATATCTGTGTTCGTATGGAAAAGTAGCTTATGTCGAAAGGCCGGCTTTAGTATAAATCGGCATTCGCAGCATACGATTGCGAATGACTCACTGGCGCTGAGCTGTTGTAGAACTTTCGGCANGACACCCGAATGGCTAGCTCACGATACTCTTTCATGTTCCACAGATTATTTAAAAATTTAGAATATTCAATGAGACATACTTCAAGAGAGGAATGAAAAAGCGTTACACAGCATTAGTTTTATTGTGTCTTTAGCGTTTCATATATGTACATATATATATGTATGTTTTGTGCACACGTAAAAATATAGGGATTCATGCATTTATGCACATTCATGTCAGTGACAATCTAAAAATACGCTTATGTCAAGCTAACAGCTGTAGGTTTACCCATGCTCCTTTCGTATATAAATGCGACGACGCGAAAGCAGCAAAGAGGCTATTTATCATCACAATGATTTTGTATAAACTTTATAGAGATCCGTTCACATACCCATTTGCATGATTTCATATATACATATATGTATGTACATTAGGGTGGTCCAAATATGCATGCGCATAAGTAAAGTCGGAATTCTCATGCTCTCAGTAAGTTTTGTTGATGCGTTATATGGAAGAAAAAGGGCACCACCCTACACAAAAAAAAATTCTAAAAAATCAACGGTTATTTTTAGCGACTTTCAACTTGCACTTTGTTACACTACAATTAAATGGGCTTCTAAACTACTTACCCGAAAATTTTCTAAAGATTCTGATAAAAAATTTTGAAATTTTGATGACAACTTTTTCAAGTTTGATTAATTTTTTTTTTTGAAATTTGCGTAAGCTTTGAAACTTTTATTTATGCAGTATCTGATATAGATCGACCCATATTTTAAAGGAAAATCATTAACCATACATAAAAAAAGAAAAGTTTGCCAGCAGCATCATTTTGAATTTAACTGCTATTATTTTGAACGCCACTATATACCCCAATATTTTTATTAATCAAAATATATTTAGAGGTCGCTCAAAGCGCTCCAAGTTTTCCATGTATTTTATATGNCATACATATGTATGTATATTAGGGTGTTCCAAATATGCATGCGAATAAGTAAAGTCAGAATTTTCATGCTCTCATCCCTTAGGATGGATCTACATAAAGAATATAAGTAGCGTTCAAAATAAAAGTAACATTTACATTTTCTTCCAAAAGTAAGTTTTGTTCATACGTTATATGGAAGAAAATGCGCAACACCCTCCTCAAAATAAAAATTCTACAAAATCAACGACTTTCAAAATAGCGACTTTCAACTTGCACTTTATTAGACTAAAATTGAATGGGCTATAAATCTACATACCCGAAAATTTTCTAAAGGTTCTGATTAAAAAGTTTGAAATTTTGAAGACAACTTTTTCAGGTTTGATTAATTTTTTTGATATTTGTGTAAGCTTTGAAGTTTTTATTTATGCAGTGTCTAATATAGATCGACCCATATTTTAAAGGAAAATCATTAACCATAAATAAATGAAGATAAGTTGCCAGCAGCATCATTTTGAATTTTGATGCTATTATTTTGAACGCCACTATATACCCCAATATTTTTATTAATCAAAATATATTTAGAGGTAGCTCAAAGCGCTCAAAGTTTTCCATGTATTTTATATGGAAAAATCCAACTTCTCATAGAATTTTTGAAAATCAATATTTTGCGATCGGAAAACTCTGTGTATCTTCGAGATAACCTCAATAATAATACTTAATTGTTTCTTNAAAAAACCAACTTCTCATCGAATTTTTGAAAATCAATATTTTGCGATCGGAAAACTCTGTGTATCTTCGAGATAACCTCAATAATAATACTTAATTGTTTCTTTAACCATTTTTTCACAGTAACTATTTTTTATAAGTACACCAAAACAGCATTAAAATTCCGACTTTACTTATTTTTGTAATACCCTAGTACATAATTCATACTATATGTATGGATTAACAAATAAGCTGAGTTCCATCGAAATGTGTTAGTTGTGTTTCAAATTTCACATTTCTATGCATTTTGCCATTTTTGCATATACATATCTACGATCTGTCTGAATATATACACTGCCGGAAAAAAGTATTGGCACAGAGAATTTTTCGCAATNCCCTATAAATTCAATGGACGTACCAATACCTAAGGGATGAGAGCATTAAAATTCCGACTTTACTTATTTTTGTAATACCCTAGTACATAATTCATACTATATGTATGGATTAACAAATAAGCTGAGTTCCATCGAAATGTGTTAGTTGTGTTTCAAATTTCACATTTCTATGCATTTTGCCATTTTTGCATATACATATCTACGATCTGTCTGAATATATACACTGCCGGAAAAAAGTATTGGCACAGAGAATTTTTCGCAATATAAGTAAAATTTTTTTTTTTAATTGTTCTCCCCTAATTTTTTTATAAAAATATGGTTCATACTACAAAAAAAAAACATAAAAAAATAATTTCTAAAATTTGGGCAAAGCATAGGAAAATTCAATAAATATTCATGCAAATTTTCAAATTTTAAATCAGATTTCTTAGAAATTTGTTGAGTACCTATACAGGCTAGAAGTAGCTTGGACTTACCCTTGATTTTTAGCAATTTTCGAAAGCATTTTCTCTGATACAAAAAATAATTTGTATGGGAAAAATGCGAAACACCTTCAACAAAAAAATTCAAAAATCAGCGCGATTTTCTGTTTAAAAATTAGAAAATGTGCATGCAAATTTATTGCATTTTCCTGAGTTCTGCACAGAGTGTAAAAAATTAAATAATTTTTGTTGTAGCATGGACAATAATAAAAAAATTTGCTTAAAAAATAAAAATATATATAGTGAAAAATTCTATGTGCCAATACTTTTTGCCGCGAGTTCACATATACATATATGTATGTATGCATGTACATTAAATTGCTCAAGTTTGCCTTTTACATTATAGCGAAGTGACAAATCCGTTGAAGAATCGATGATTGAGGAGGTTTGTCGTGAGACAGCAAATATTGCCCTCGCCAACAACAATGTAAGCCACCATATTTTCAACAGTCGCACGCAACATTGCCGGCTCGTTGACGGTAATCTCCCTGAGCTGCTGCTGCAGCCATTCCAAGTGGAGTTCTTAAGTCTGGATCCGTACATTGTTGTGCATCANCAGAGAATTTTTCGCAATATAAGTAAAATTTTTTTTTTTAATTGTTCTCCCCTAATTTTTTTATAAAAATATGGTTCATACTACAAAAAAAAACATAAAAATATAATTTCTAAACTTTGGGCAAAACATAGCAAAATTCAATAAATATTCATGCAAATTTTCAAATTTTAAATCAGATTTCTTAGAAATTTGTTGAGTACCTACAGGCTAGAAGTAGCTTGGACTTACCCTTAATTTTTAGCAATTTTTGAAAGCATTTTCTCTGATACAAAAAATAATTTGTATGGGAAAAATGCGAAACACCTTCAACAAAAAAAAATTCAAAGATCAACGCGATTTTTTAGCAACATCAAACAAAGATGCATTTGTTATACTAAAATTTAATGTCTTATAAAATTGTATACTCAAAAAATTTTCGGTTTAAAAATTAGAAAATTTGCATGCAAATTTATTGCATTTTCTTGAGTTCTTCACAGAGTGTAAAAAATTAAAAAATTTTTGTTGTAGCATGAACAATAATAAAAAAATTAGCTTAAAAAATAAAAATATATATAGTGAAAAATTCCATGTACCAATACTTTTTGCCGTGAGTGCACATATACATATATGTATGTATGCATGTACATTAAATTGCTCAAGTTTGCCTTTTACATTATAGCGAAGTGACAAATCCGTTGAAGAATCAATGATTGAGGAGGTTTGTCGAGAGACAGCAAATATTGCCCTCGCCAACAACAAAGTAAGCCACCATATTTTCAACAGTCGCACGCAACACTGCCGGCTCGTTGACGGTAATCTCCCTGAGCTGCTGCTGCAACCATTCCAAGTGGAGTTCTTAAGTCTGGATCCGTACATTGTTGTGCATCATAATGTGCTGAATACGCAGGAAATCGACGAGTTGCAAGAGTTAATAGAAGAAGAGTACGCTGACGATGGTGTGGTTTTGTCAGAGTCGCAGAAATTCACAAAACTAGCACAGCGGAAGCTGAGGTCGTTAGCGAAACGTTTGCAATTGGCTACGGGGCATGCAAGCGCCGATTTTGCAGAGTGGTTAGTGGAGCATTTCACATTTGAAGATGTGGTGCATGCAGAACCATTGGTGCCTGCATCAACGCAAACTATGGCGAATGTGCTGTTCAATGTAAGTGCACCGGTTGGGAGTGTTAAGCGAGGCTAAATCAATTTTATTCTCCATTTGCTATTTGTAGCTGCAAACACCCAAGCTGGGTGGCGCTATTGTCTTTCCGCAATTGGAAATGGGTATATCGCTGCCAGCGAATGCGCTGCTGTATTGGACGCAACTGGACGAGTACAATGAATACGATTATCGAAGCAAACAACATGTCTGTCCGGTGATAGCTGGCACACAACTCAGTAAGTGCTTTTAGAACTTTCCTATAATTTTGATGTTCATTGGTTTGTGTATGTATTTATGCACGCGTATGTATGTATATGTTAATGCGTTCTTTTTTTGTATTTTGTTGCAGCGGTCTATACCAGTATTACAGCACGAAGCTAATGGAAAGGAGATCAGTTGATATAAATCTAATTAATTAAGGAATTTCTATAAATAAAAAAATCCATTAAAATTCAATTTTTGAAAAACGGGGCTCACTTTACTACACTTCATGTAAAAGCATGCGGAGAATTAAGTAGCAATAGATATGTATGCATGTACATTAGGGTGGTCCAAAAATCCATGTGAGGGGGAGGGGGGAAAGTAAGGTCGGAATTTTTATGCTCTCATGCCCTAGGATTTTTCTATATCAAATAATGCTTAGAGGTCGCTCAAAGCGCTCAAAATTTTCCATGTATTTTATAGGGGACAAAAACAACTTTTCGTAGAAATGGTATCGTAACTCTGTGGTAGGAAAACTCTATTTCTCTTCAGGAGACTCCCAGTAATAATATCCAACTGTTTAACCATTTTGTCATAGTATCTATAATTTTTAGATCCGCCAAAAACCACCAAAAACCACGAAAAATGCAATGGGGGGACCAATAAAAAATCGTTAGTAATTAAAACAAGAAAGCACGCCGGAGCCACACTGGAGAAGGGAAACTTACGTTACATACATATCTATTTTGTCACATAACCTATACATACATACATACATACACCTGCTTTTGCTTAAGGTTATATTTTTTGTCTTTTTTTCTATCTAGATCCCTACCTCTACCCCTGTGCGTTCTAGTTACATTTATGTTATTCTGTTTTCCTTTATCTTCATTTTTGTCTTTATACTCTATCGATAACAAAAACGATAGTAACATCCAATGAAATATCGATAACAAAACCGATAAAAATATCGATAACAAAATCAATGAAAAAATCGATAAAAATTTCGATGATAATATTGGTAGCTAAATCTATTAAAAACTCGATATAAATATCTATAACAAAATCGATAAAAATATCGTTAACAAAACCGATAAAAATGTCCATAACAAAATCGATATCAAAATCGATAAATATCGATAACAAAATCGATAAAAATCGATAACAAAATCGATAAATATAGATTAATATAGATAATAAAATCGATAACAAAATCGATAAAAAATTTCTAACAAAATAGTTAAAATTATCGAGTACAAATTCGATAACAAATCGATAAAGATATCGATAACAAAATCGATAAAAACATCGATAACAAAACCGATAAAAAAATCGATTATTTTATCGATAAGTCCCGATATTCCCCTTCGCCTTTGCCCTTATACAGTGAAAGCTCCCATAAGCGGACACCG